GAAGTACACTTATTAAAAATGATAATTTAAGAGATTAAAAAGTACACTTATTAAATGTAACAAATCATTAAGCCAACGAGGCCAGGTGCAATTTAATGGCCATTTAGATTGTGGTGATAAGGTAGGTCAAATCGTACGCGTCTACGTATGTCTTGACAACTAAGCAAAGTAAAAGTTGCAATGTGAACAAAATTATATTCCCAGCAACAACAATAACTCCTTAACGGCCAACCAGACCTGTGGCCCAGTGGTTGGCCCCCGAACCTTAGGGTTTGGGTGAGGCGGGAGGTCAGGATTTCGAATTCTGCTATCGTCGTGAATTTTATCAACTTGCGATCTAATAATTGTGCGATTCATCTGAGGGGTAGAATGTTCACCATTCTGAGAAGTTCCAGTTGCTAACATCTAACTCTACTAACTTCTTAACTATTACCTTTGTGTAAAAAAAAAAAAAAAAGCAACTCCTTAACGGTACGGTTAGACTACGAATAAGACATGGCATAGGATGCACTTTATATCCTGAGTCATTACGTCTCATGTTTGGGACGGACATCGAAAAAGATAACTACTATTTAATGTTTTGTCTTGTCTTGAATTTATAACAAAAAAAAATATCTCACTTACCTCATGTGATTACTCAGGGTAAGATGTGTTTTCTTTTTTTTTTTCGTCCCAGTCTTCATCGTGACTTCTCTGATTTTGCATCTTTTATTTAAACATCAAAAATAATTTTAATAGCTAAATTGAAGATGGAATTCATTAGTGTTAATCACATATTCACAAGTCATGATAATAGATTTCTCAAGTGTCTATGGTATTCTGCTTCCAATTAAACTTACCTACCCATCTTCTTTTGTTAGATAATCTCATGGCTTTTCTTACCGACAAAATGCTTTGGACTTCACAAATATGAGACAAGATGTCATCAAAAAAGATATGAACTTCATAGATCTTGATATAAACTGATGATGGGATGAAAGAGGGCAGTGGGGGTATTTGACTACTGTTATTGACCTTGGTTCATTTTTTACTCAGTAATTCAATCAAATCTCTTTTTTTTATTTTTTGTTATTTTCTTTGAATTTCTAAACTGCACCTACAAATTTCCTATATAGAATTTAGTATTGATTTCAATTGAAGTTTGGGTATAAGTAACATAAATATCAATTGGTTTACAGTCAATTTAGTAGTATGTTAGTTGTTTGGTTTCCAAGAAAACAAAGGAAAATTGATGATATTTAACTTAGACATTTTTATGTTTTTATTTGAGTAATTAATGACAATTGTTTTAATTTTTAATAAATTCCTAACTTAATCGACACTAAATAAATTAATTGTTTATTATAAAAAGTAAATTAATTATTGTAAAACAAATTAAATAAGAATAAAATTAAAAAATAACTATACTACCTTTAATACAAGGGCATTTTGGTCTATATAAATAAATATATATTTTTTTTGATAAATCATGCGTGTCTTTATTTCAAAAAAAAGAAACAAGATAAAATACATTAGGTTCCAATAGGCTTCTCCCCTGTTACAATGTGCGCCATAGATTGGGGAACCTCCCCGAGCCAAAACTCATCACCCTCTACATGACGAGCACGTTTAGCAAGCTCATGGGCAACTAAATTTCCTATGCAACGAACATGCTGGACATGGCAAGACATGAAGTTAGTTTTCAATTTTTGACAGTCACGGTTCATTGCTGCCACAATACAAGAGCAATTCGATTCTATCACAATTTGATGTAAAGCAAGATCTTGAGCCCACCACAATGTTCTTCACAGGCTATAGGCCTCGATAACCTTTGCGGGGACTTTACCCTTTCCTGGGCAAGCCATCGCATCCACCACTTCTCCCCTAAAATCTCATGCAACTGCTCCCATACCATACAGGTTCCTACTGTCCGACGTTACCCCATCCATATTAACCTTTATGAAACTTTCAGCCAATGGACACACCATTTCGTTTCACTATGCAACAATGTAGCTATCGCCCCACGTCCCTTTGAGGCCATTAGTTGCCTATATTCACTTAAAACATGGGAATTCTATTCAATAACATATAGAGGGATAACAGGTCTACCATTCCATAAAGCATTGGAGGAGCCAGGGGGGTGCGAGGGGGGCGCTCGCCCCCCTGAAATTTGAAAATCTTGCAAATTAATATATGAAAAATTATTTAGCCTCTTCTGAACTTTGAAAATTTTAGTATTTTGTCCCCCCTGCGAAAAAAATTTCTGCCTCCGCCCCTGCCATAAAGCATCATTTCGACAGCCCCAAAGTTTCCAACCCACAACACAAAATAACTCTAGAGACTCCTTAGTTAAAGTGTCCAACATATGATCAAACATTCCTACAAAAGTCTTAGTTTGTAGTTCTGATAAGTAGAGAGTGAGTGGGCAACCTAACCATACCACCCGAGCAACAAAACAAGTGACAAAGTAGTGAAGTATAGACTCCTGCTCCATCTTACACATTGGGCATTCAGAATCTACATAGATGTCCCTACGAATCAAGTTATCCTTAGTTGGGAGGATATCACAGTAAGTATTCCATAACATCAAACAAATCTTTTCTGGAAGGTCAAGAGTCCACACACGCCCTTCTTTGAAACCCAGTGAGGAAGTTGAAGGGTCTTCACAACGGTGACCCAACTCCATGGCCTTGTGATAGCCAAATTTAACAAAGTATAACTCATGTCTTGAGAAGTTCCAAGTCTATCCATCCTCCCTCTTTATCTAGCTCAAGGGTAAACTTTGAGCCACTCCTTTTGGTGGGGTACCCTGTAAATTTGCTAAACTAAAAAATTTGCAATTATGGGCCATATCTTTAAGATGGGATACCTTAAAAATATGAATAAAAATAGAGGAAGGCACCTTTGGATTGGAATCCATGTGAAGACGATGATGGACAAGTTTTGATGGTGTAAGTGGATTGTATAATATTTGATATATCATATGATGAAGCACAATTGCTCTCCATGTAAGCACAATTCAATAAGTCGATTACTAGTTTGGAAACAAAAGTTTTAGGGTGGGATTTTGGTCCCCCCTAGGCAACACATTTTTTAACTTTCTTTTGACCTCAGCTGAGGCTTTCCCAGCCATTGGATCAGGTGGATTAGTGCTTGATTAACCTATGAATGTGGACCTAGCCTAAGAATATGGAAAATCATTTCCTTTGTGTACATCTCTCTCTCTTTTCCCCCCTTTTAGAAGAAAAAAGACACAAAATCCTTTGTGGAAGCTGCCATTAGCCTGTTAGAACATAGAAGCTTGACACATTAATGTCTTCACTTGGTCCTTTTAAAAAAAAAAAAAAAAAATTGTCTACATTTAAAGCAGTAATTGGATCCGCTGGCAGAGAAAGCACAGGAAGGAGAAGTTTTTACGCGTAGGCAAAGCCATGTAGATAAAGAGAGATTGGTCAACCAAAACAGCTTCTCGTAGTTGGTACTAATCAAATCGAAAATCCATGTTCATACCCTCTTAGTGGTTCTAATGGAAACCGTATTAGCATTCAAATAAGTGCTTCAATTTGGTCAATATTGAAAGCACTCACTATTCATTTTTTGCATTTGGGATAGGACGATAAGCTTTGTGGCATTTAACTCTTCAATGGGACATATTATATGATTTTGGATATAATATCTTTGAATTAATACCTAATTTTATATCAAACAATCAAAGAAGGTTTTTTATTTTTTTTTCTCTCTCTCCATTAAATGGTTTAACAACATTAATTTATAGATAATGTTTGTTGGAAATAACCACATAGAATTAAACAAGTACATATATTAATTTTGTGTCCTATCAAGTGAAAAAAAAAAAATATTTTGTCATGTTATCTCATATTGACATTCTCAATGAATTATTTGCTTAAGATTAATTAAAGCTTTCATTTGTTTGTCACACAATCAGCTTGGCCCAGAAAATGCCTAAGTAAATAAGGACATATCAGATGACATAAACAATTAAATAAAGGCTAATTTCATTTACATGAGGAGTAGAGGGGTTGATTTGTAACAAAAATGTAGGTTGAAAATATGGGTTATTTGCACTATTTGCCTTATTGTTATTGTTTTAGTTTTAACTTGCTTGAAGGGTAACAGATGAAGCAAGAAAGAGTAGGTAGACAGAGATAGAATAACATAGGAGAGTGCTTTACAGTTCTGCTTACCTACAACAAAATTAAACGATATGAGATGAAATTGTTAATTTTGATATTGAACTTCTTTTAGTTTTTAATGAACTTGTTGGTATGGTGCCATTACCTGAACTAAATTTCTTGCCGTTTTGATTGGTATACTAAAATTCTGAATCCGAAAAATATAGATAAGATGTCAATTACTGCAAAACTTGTGATTGAACAAAGAAAGTATCCTTGAAGCAAACAAAGTATAAGATTGATTAAGATTCAGGATCTCCGAACAGGTGTATATTCAGTGCCAAAAAATAATAAAGGGATTATACTATAAATGTAAGGGAGTAGTTCAGCTAATGATCTTAAGTGTTATTTTCAATAGTTTAATCATAACCTAACATCGAAGGAACATTAAGGGACAGTGTTAATTGAGTTCTCATTGTCAAAAGCAAGTTGCACGCCCATGTCTGTGTGCCTCATCATATTCATCAAAGAATTCAGAACACTAATCACTGATCAGCTCCAAGATATATGGTCCGTTTTTCTTTCTTTAATTTTAATGATAGGTGAAACCTATATTATTATAACCTACTCCTTACTCTATCAACAAATACACCCTCGACTTCAAAGAGAATAGGGATAATTTTCTATGGACTAATTTTTTTCAACTAATGTTCATAAAACAGCAAGTTGCAAAGGTTCATATGGTATTTTTCTTCTTCTTCTTTTGGCATCCTATAGAACTTTTTTTTAGAGGTCTAACATTTCTTCAAATGAAAGCCATACATACAGAGTAGGCTAGCTGATGAGAGCATGAAACCAGATAATTAGTTATTTCAATCAACAAACAAGAACAACATAGGGAAAATGATATGTTGATTTTATTGAGTGAAGAAAAATTCATCATTGAATTCAGTTACAAGATGAAAAGACGGTGGTGAATTTGCATAATCTTCAAAACTTATCAGAACAAATATACTTCTGATACCTGTGTCCTATCTTATCACTCAGCAAGATTAAACATCTGCAAATCAGTTATGTTTTTTAAGGCAGAATGAAAACAAGTTGGCATGAGTTGTTCTTTAAGGCATGAAAGGGGCAAAAACCACAACTGAATTGTGTCCGCCGAAGCCAAATGAATTAGATATTCCTGCATGAAATGAAAACGGAAAAACTTCTGATATGTTAAACCCAAATGAATTAGATTTCTAGTTTCCATGAATTATTTTTCATCTATTCACAGTTGAAAGTTAAAGCTGAAGAAGAAATAAAATACCTACCAACATTGACTTCATGCTTCTTCTTCACATTGGGAACAGTATCAATTGTGACACCAGGCTCCAAGTTCTGGAGAAAAGAATTGGGATTAGAAGAACATAAAACCATTGTCAAACAATTGGATTAACTGTTGAGTGCATCGTCTCCACTCAATTTGATTATGAGACAAAAAAAAAAAAGTATGGACAGTGTCGAGGAATTTTTTTTTTTCTTTTTGTAGGAGATCCAATTTGAAAGAAACAATGGAGCATGTAATCAGATAGAAAAGAGTTTTTGTGCATACATCCTGGTTAATAGTTGGGTGCAACCAGCCAGTTGTGATAGCTTTTATGGTTGCTATGGCTTCCAATCCACCAGCAGCTCCAAGCCCATGTCCAATCATGGACTGAAACAAGAAACAGTATATATCAGTCATCTCAAAGTTTCCATTCCCATATGAAATATTTTCCTGTCTTACTTGCAATTGTAGCTTATATATCTATAAATATATTCCCTGTTTCTCACCTTTGTCCCATTCATCTTCATCTCAGAAGTGTCCTTAAACACCTTCTTGATCGCATTAACCTCAGTCAAATCACCTGCTAGTGTTGATGTGGCATGAGCATTCACGTAGTTCACCTGTAGGTGGACAATTGGTTCAGTAATGGTAGACTAGAAAGAAAAAGATAGAAATGTGGAGCAAGTTGATCCCATTGTGTGCAAGAGTGTGTGTTTGTGTGCTCAGAAAAGAAAGTTATCCCAATGTCAATAGATAAATGGGCCGGTGCTGTGCCTCTTCAGGGGAAACTCCTGCATCTTCTAGACTCTTGGTTATGCAAGATGAAACTCCAAGACCATCAGATCGAGGGTCAGTTATGTGATGAGCATCACAGGTTAGGGCACCTCCTACATATTCCGCAATTATGTTAGCTCCTCTTTTCATCGCATGCTCCAAGCTCTCCAGAATCTGAATTCATTTGAGAAAAAAAATAAAATAAAATTAGTACTAGCACAATTAACGAAGAAAAACTGTAGGAGAGGCAACTTTTTGTTGTTACCAGAACACCAGAGCCTTCTCCCATAACAAAGCCATCACGATCTTTGTCCCAGGGCCTTGAAGCTCTCTTTGGTTCATCATTTCTCTGAGAAAGTGCCCGGCAAGCTATAAACCCACCAACTCCAGTGGCCATGATTGCAGCCTCAGTTCCACCAGCTACCATGATATCTGCTTCCCCTCTTCTGATGTGATTTGCAGCTGCATAAAAGCAGTAATTTGCAGTAGCACAAGCAGTTGAAATGGAGTAATTAGGTCCCATTAAGCCAGTATCTATAGCTAACAACGCTGAACCCATGTTGGTTATAGAGTAAGGGATGAAAAATGGAGTGATCTTTTTGTATCCCTTTTGAATTAGAGATTCGACTCCACTAGTGAATGCTGTTAGGCCTCCCATTCCTGAACCAACCAGCACGCCTATTCTTGTTCTGTCCATCTGAGGTGCATACAAATAGAGTGTGTTTTCTTTAGTGATTGATATAACTTACATTGTGGGTGGACCATTCAACATTAAGCATCACTTACTTTCTCAAGGACTTGAGGACCCAAGTTGGCATCATCAAGGGCCCTTCTTCCAGCAACAATGCAGTACCTCCAGCAGTCATCTAGACGGCGATCATTCTTGCCATCAATGTAGCCTTTGGAAGAAAAATCACGTATCTGACCACCAAATCGAACAGAAAAGCTTGAAGCATCAAACCTATCAATGAGGCCGATACCACTCTCTCCCTCAAGAAGTTTATTGTAGAATGCATCAATGTCAATTCCAAAAACTGACACAAGCCCCATTCCTGTTATAACAATTCGTTTTTTTGGATCTTTCTCTCTTTTGGGAGCTGAGACTGTAGGTGAAGCCATGGCCCTGATTGTCCTGCATTTTCTAGCTGAGACTTGGAAAAGGAATTAGAATTTAACCCAAATCAGGTTTAAGATTAAAGTAAAGAATTGTGAAGCTTCCATTTTTATTTGTGATTTATATTATCAACTACACTGAAATGAATGAGAAAGTAGAGTAATATAACGGTTAGTCAAAGCAGAAAGAGGGTGTGTATTCGATGGCCCAACAGACAATGAATCCGCATCGAAATACTAACATTCCCATAAAGAGAAACATTAAAGAGGCCCCGATAGCCACGACGGTAATAAAAGTGATCTACAGCTGCGTAGGCACTACCCAAAAACATAAAAATAAAAAATAAAAAATAAACAAGTTATTTTATAATTCAGATTATAAAAATTATATCTTTAGATATCGAAGGACTTAATGTTTTATGATTTAAAATAATTCAGATTGTAAAATTTTTTTTTATAAAAATAAAGAATAATTATAGAAATTATTTTTTGCAGACCCCACCAAGTGATTGATCATGGATGCTTGAATAATTTGATTAGAGCTGAAGAAGCTCTGGTCAACAATCAAGAGTGAAAAAAAAAATGTTGAATGCAACGGAACTGAAGGATTTAAGAGAAGATAATTTGATTCTTTCTAAGTTGATACAAGCAGCCAAGACTTGGAAATTTATTTCTCAAGACTTGTAGCAGACATTCAATACAGCAGTTTAACACACATACGTTGAACAAATATAACATTAATTCATTATACCAAAAAAAATTTATATAACATTAATTCACATATTTATGAATTATGAAGACGAAACAAGACAAGTAAGAAGCAATTAATAAAGTAATTTTCTAACCTGTAATGAGCATATGTTAAGCATTATTAATTAATTATAGTGTTTATAATTAAATACCTGAAATAGAAACAAACCCATTTGGCTTAGTTGCTGAAGAAGCCAAGTTGATGTTATCGACTGGTTTAAGGCCAGTGTAGTGAGGTAGAGAAGGTCCTGCATCTCTGTTTCTAAGCAGCACACC